AGCAAGCCACTCCCACAAAGGAGGCCACACCCACAGAGTAGGTTCGAACAATTTTTGAAACCCACCACTGGTCTATTCCCATCATGTGATTCTTTGGGCACATCCAATGAACGACTGATTCAGAGGACCAGACCAAGCTAATAGATTACGCTAAAATAATCTTTATATTCAAATCCATTTTTTGGGGGGGGGGTGGTTGTTTTTGAAATTATACTGATAGGCATGATAATCTGGAGGGAAAAATCCAGGCAAAATTATTAAAGGCGGATAAAGAGGTAAAATCATACTTACTGAAGGATACTAGGATCATTCCATATTTTTTCAGGGACGCAGAAGATCCCATTTTCTCCCTCCCTGGCAGTGAAATATACTCCAGCTGCACCAGTCATCAGATTTCCAGGAAATTGAACCAGGACTCCCTCCTTCCCATGCTGATGTGACCACAGCCAGGCTTGGCCACCAATGAGCAGACCCCCACCCCTTTTTATGAACTGCACAAGGTCATCAGCCTGTGCGCTATCGTAGGCATCTCTGAAGAATACTCCCAGGGGGTCCTCAAGGGTTGCATCTGGTTGAACTTTAATGCCATTACTGAGGAGCAATTTGGAGAGGGCATCCAGACTTCCATGGACTCCTATGAGTGCCGTTGGGGAAGGCCTGAGCCAGTCCAGGGCATTTTTAATGAACGGCAAGAACTGTGGAAGCTGTATCATGGATTCATGGGCAGTGACCACCACCCGGCCTTTCCCATATTGGGCTGCTGCAATCAGAACTTGCCCGTTCGAACCTATAAGCACCGGGAAGGCTTGGTCTCCGGTGAGCAAAAGTTCACAAGGAATAAAATCTCCCGTGACATCGATGGACGGAATGCCTCGCAGTAGAGAATTGTAAGCGTTTTGGATCAGGCTATTCCTTGATCTGAAAGAGAGAAAGAGGGAGAAAGATCACCTGCGGATTTAATCCTTCATTTCCCGGAGAAAGCTCTTGGGACAGACAACTCTAAACACACCGTTCTCCTGAGGTAGTGTGGTACTGCGAGTGCTGAAGCACATTTAGAAAATGCAGCTATCGAAATCCAAAGTTCTGCTATTCTGCTATTGTTTACTAACACAAGAGTGTCCGATTGGAGTGTTAGAATTGTACCTCTCTTTGAATTCAACTGGAGGAAGTTGTGGGAAAGGAGAGAAAACATTGGGAATCTATACTGAAAGTATTTCAATGGCTGTTGATCCTTTGTCTCAACTGGGCCGTGCTCCCCCTGCACTCAAGACTTTGAATACGGCTCTCTTGTCCAATTCTTTGGCACAGCAAATGATTGTCTGAATCAGAGGACCCAACGAAGCTGATGGGTTAAGCTAAAATATTATATATCTATATCTATATATCTATATCTATATCTCTCTATCTATATATCTATATCTATATATCTATATATCTATATATCTATATATCTATATATNAGTCTTTCCTTGCACAGCACCTCATTTGGACAATATTTACATGGCAGCTCTCCAAGCTAGATAAGGTCTGTGGTCATAAATTCACCTTTCAAAGACTGTTTACTAGGCCTTTGCTGAAAGGGAATGAGAGGAATTCACGTTCCTTTAATAAAAGGGGTTAATAAAAGGGACCAGGAATCATGCTTTTTGGGAAAGCTTAGGTCAGAACAGATTCTTTGGCACAGCAAATGAATATCGGAATCGGAATACCCGACAAAGCTGATAGATCATTAGACGAAAATAATTTTAGATGCATAGCTATTTCCTTGGTCTTATTTTGCTTTGGGGAAGTTACTGAAAGATGTGAGAATCCTGGGACAACAATCATAGTAAAGGAACTATTTGCAGGTAGGATTATTAAAAGCAGATAAAGAGGTAAAATTATACTCACTGGGCGATGCTAGGATCATTCCATACATTTTCAGGAACAGCGAAGATCCCATTTTGTCCCTCCTTGGCTGTGAAATATACTCCAGCGACACCGGTGACCAAGTTTCCAGGAAATCGAGCCAGGACTCCCTCCTTCCCATGTGGATGTGACCAGAGCCAGGCTTGGCCACCAATGAGCAGACCCCCACCCCTTTTTACGAACTGCACGAGATCATCAGCCTGTGCGCTATCGTAGGCATCTCTGCAGAATACTTCAAGGGAATCCTCAAGTGTTGCATCCGGTTGAATTTTAATGCCATTACTGAGGAGCAACATGGAGAGGGCCTCCAGGCTTCTGTGGACTCCTATGCGTTTCTTTGGGGTAGGCTTGAGCCAGCCCAGAGCATTTTTAATGAACGGCAAGAACTGTGGAAGCTGTATCATGGCTTCATGCGCAGTGACCACCATCCGGCCTTTCCCATAATGGGCTGCTGCAATCAGAACCTGCCTCTTCAAATCCACAAGCACCGGGAAGGCTTGGTCTCCACTGAGCAAAAGTTTACAAGGAATAAAATCTCCCGTGACATCGATGGACGGAATGCCTCGCAGTAGAGAATTGTAATGACGTTGGGTGTTGATGGAGCTATTTGTTGATCTGAAAGAGAGAAAGAAAGGGAAATATCACCACATTTATTTATTTTTATTTTTTTTTAAAGATTTTTATTAACAAACATGTAAAATACACACACACAAAACTTAGACGTACACCCAGAGGTGGGTTCCTACCGGTTCGCACCTATTCGGTAGAACCGGTTCGTCAAATCTACCGAACC